GCGAAATGGGAGGTTGTGTCGTCATGTTTTGGGATGTAGAGCGCTTTGGATAAGCGTTCGGGGACGTGGGATATTATGTCGAGCATGTTTACGGTGCTGCGTGGTCCGTGATGGAGATATACTGAAGAAATGTCAAAGGCCATGATATTTATATTATGCGATAAAAACGGTTGGAAGTTTGTCTCCAGATTTAAACTCCAGATGAGGAAAATAAAAGAAATCCATTTTACCAAGAAACCTTGTGACGTTTTATCGAAGCTTGATCTCATGATCAGACGTTGCCAAGAGGAACTAAACAGTTTGCATAACGTACATAGCCACTCATCACAATCACAATTACAACGGACTTTTCCTGATAATTTCTAATCGAGGGTGATATTGGGAAATCCGAGTGGGGCTGACAAGTCCGATTCTGTCGCCACTCACAAAACTTCCTATTTGGGTATTAAGACGGTGACTAAGAATAGAAAAGTCCGATTTATCGGGGATGAGATGTCCGATTTGGAGTAAGCAGAGCATGTGAATGGCTTCGAAATCGGATTTGGCTGGGATGTTTTGGGACTTAATAAAAGCCACGGTCCCATACTTTTCCACTGTTGAATTTGGCTAAATTGATCAGATGCTAAGTTGATATTGAATCACTTGCCACTGGTAACATCTCGAGCATTGTCTATAAGTACCGAGACTTTACTTCATCGTTCCTCCTCCTCTAACGCTACGGCTGAGCAACTCCATTTGGAAATCATCACCATGTCCACCAAAAAGTCAATGCGGTCTATCATGGCCAGAATAACAGGTCAACACCGACCTCGCCTCACGATACGGTACATCTCCCAATCCTAACTCTGAGCTCTCACTAACCTTGCAGACCGGACTACGATTATGTCTTCGTTAGCGGAAGTGGTGAAGATGCAAAAGGCCAATATCTTCGCGGCAAGCTATCACTCTTCATCCCAGAAGGGCAAAACATCACCAGCGTTCAACTGAAGTTAACCAGTCGAATGTGGCTTGGGTAGGTTCATCCCGAAGATTAGAGGCTGGCGCGGGAGCTAACGGTTACGATTAGAGACCACAAGGTTGACGCCGAAGAGGCTGTAAAATGGCAACGGGGTGAAAGTACCGTTCATCAATGGAAGCCATTCAGCGTCATCGATAAAATCGGAGAGCCGTTTAAGAATGGCAAGAATTTTGAATGGCCTTTTGAGTTGTTCATTCGAGGTGATCAGGAGGAATCGTTCAAGGGTTGTACGCGATGCAATATCACATACCTACTTGAAGCCTGGACGGTGGATGGAAATTCATCGAACAGCTTCAAGACGTTTTCACCGATTCGAATCATTCGTACACCAGGGTTCTCTTCGTACGAACTCATGGATCCGACGACTGTGCAGGGGAAATGGTCCGAGATAGCGGAGTACAACGTATCCATTCGACATCGAGCGATTGCGCTGGGAGGATTGATTCCTATCGAAGCTCACCTTGCGCCGCTCGATCCGGCGGCGAAGATTACAAAAGCTAGATTTTTCTTGCGAGAAAAGCACGACGTGGCGAATGAGCCTGATGTAGAAGAGCCCTGTTATGAGGGACAGCGGATAGTGACGGAGTGGCCGTTGGAGTTGAACGACGAGCCTCAGCAGCGGTGGCAGCAATGTCTACACCTCCCCATCGCTGTGAGGAACTGTTCACCTGACTTTTCAGTCTGTGGAGTCTCCATCACGCATTCGCTGCACTTTGAGGCTACGATAACCAACAATGGCGTCACCACTGAGGAGGAGGTCTCGATGCCTTTACATCTCTTCATCTCGCCGGAACTGCCAGTGAATGGCTGGGGTGTTTTCGTGAGGGATCATGTTATCGCTGCAAAAGAGGTAAAGAGCCTTTTGGCAGAGGGCATCAGTGTTCCGCCGAAATACTGCAAGGGGGACTTTGTGGTGGAGGACCATGAAGTTCCTCCTCCAGCGTATAGCGAAGCATGATGGGGAGAGTCGTAAGGGGCGAGGAGTTATATCAGGTGCATATAGTCTTTTTATTATACCACGGACAAGGGTCAGCGCGTTCTACCTATGATACCAAAATTCATTAATACCAAGTCATCAAGTCATCATAGTCGTAGCATCATCAGTTTGTGGAGTGATGTAAGCTGAGTCCCAAAGTTCCTACTCCAGTTAGTGATACCCTCGACAAGTTGCGAGCCATTACCTACCCAGTCAATCCCATCGGGTCTGAACCAGTCGACATTGGTAGCCCAGTCCTCGAACCTCAGCTCGACATCTTCAGGCAAGAAAGTCGGTGCAGGATCTCGCTTTGAGAGATAAGATCTACCTAGGTTAGTCACCAATTCCGTGGCGGGACAATCAAGAACGACTTACCGTAGACAACGGATAACGCGATAAACACTTGAACAAGCCGGACTCTTCATCTTGAGTGCTTCCATTCTCGTTATAGCAGCGTCGACAGCAGATATATGCTCCGTCGGGTCAGAGTCATCAGGCATATCAAGCATGCATGAAGTTAACGCTACAGCGCCGTGAAGCGCGTTGCAACTGATCGCGCCTTTGACGAGCCATCGATAGCACTTTAATCGTGGTAGTTCGTAGAATTGGTGATGGACATCAAGCAGTGCGAGGCCTGACTTTATACACTTGTCCCGTGACTCAGCGCGAAAATGACTGGCCTTGGAGCTGTGGAAAGGTCGATGAAGAAGGAGGTAGAGTTGATGCGCGTAGGTTTGGAGCATACACCAATGCGCATAGCCTGCTGTGTTGAGAATACTCCGGCGACCGTTGACGAGATATGCAGCATCCCATTGCAACTGTTCTTTTTCTACAGCTGTGTCATACTGGTGTAAAATCGTGGTGTTCAATTTGTCGTCTCCAGAAATATGTGAGCAGATTTGCGTTGATAATTGGAACAAGCGGACTTGGAATTTGAGGAGTGAAGTATCGGTGAACTCGCAGGGTGAATCCTTGGGCGACTGTTTTATACTGTGTTCTTGGATATCTTTGTCGTTGACCCATGCCGGCATTGTCGCCTTCATGTTCAACAGGAACGTGAGGTCGATATCTCTGAAGCACAGGGCTTGGTAGGTATGGATGATCAGGATACCTGCCCAGCAACGTCGGCGGCGCTCTTGTTCAATACAATTAGGTCCTTCAATATCCGTATGGCAGCGCAGGGCAATGGCGATGTTAAGAGCACTGCCGAGAAGTGCCCAGCCATACTCCGGTCCTTCGTTATGCGAGATCATATGAACCAGGATGAGAAGAGCCTCGAGCGTGCTCAGATCATGACGAACCAGGAATTGGTCTTGCGAAAGGGCCGTCATTGCCGCATTTCGGTATTTCTGTGACAGTACCGATAAATCTCGAGGGATCGTGGTGTCTTGCCACAGCACGACCAGGCCAGCATCAGTCGGCTCAATGGTCTTGAGAGTCAGCGAGATGATAGCGAACAGAACAGCAAGCCATGACAAACTCGTCTTCTCGGGAGCTTCGAGGAATTCCAAGTACTGAGTCTGGAATGTCGGGCCATGGAGAATATGGAACAGCGATGAGAGTGTTCCAAAATAGCGGCAAACCAAGTACTCCGTCACAGAAGTTGGCGGTAAAAGCGCAAGCAGTTCGGTGATTGGAACGCAGGGCCCAAAGGACAAAGTAACAGTTGGATTCGGCGAGTCTGGTATAACACTCCTCTCAACAGATGGTCGACGCAGAATATGATCCCATCGCTGCTGTATCGGCTCAGGCGTCGAACTCGGAGACGACACTGTCTCTGTTACCTCTACAGATTGAAGCTGTATCTGCTGCTGAGGCACCGGCTCAACGGCCTCAAGCCTCGTTCTTCGTCGTTTCTGCGGTCCAGTAAAGTTTGATCCGTAAGCGCAAGAGTCTTGCCAGCCTCGTTTGAGGCATGTAGCGCACGGCAGTCCCCGGTCGCATTTCAGCTTGGAGTGTCTGCAGGGATCACAGTTCAAGGGTTTTCTGGGGCGGCGCTTCTGGGCTTGGCTGCGGTTTGGGGAACTGGAACTGCTCGGACTTAGCTGCTCCATATTTAGGTGAGTATGGGAGGATGAATCGGTGAACGGGGAATGTTGTTTTGTGATGTCCGAAAATTGAGATTGAATGATCTGGAAGGAGTAAGCAAAATGAAATCGGAGTCGGAATCGGAAACCGGATTTAGGCTCAAGGATGATTACGTGAGGGTTTGAACCAATCAAGGCGAAACCATGTTAAAATCGGACTTTAAGACTACCCTACCCGGAAGAGGTCAAGGAGGATCTACGACTTAATCTTTCCCGTATGACTCAATTAATACGAAAATAACAATATCAAATTCTTGCACTCAGCTTGATTTTCGTCATCCATCACTTCTGGTGCTGCCAGCTGGAGAAGCTGCCTTGACCTTGAAAGCAGTGGTGCACAACTCGGCAGCTGTCATTCCTGAGCCTTCGTATCAAAGTATAGTCACCATCACAAAAGTCTAGATACGTTTTCCGACTATGGTCACTGTCCGAGCGGACTTGAGAGAAACACTACCTATTTCATTCCTTGTCGGATAATTGGATGCAGGCGTCTCGCCGCGCGTCTTGCTCAGATTACTGGTCTTGGGCCGTTGTAAAAGAAACACCAACTTGTTTCAACATGTGCAACAGCACTAAAAGGTTGTTTTGGACAATAAATGTCACGCCTCCACTAATGGCTTGATTAGATTGCACCCATGCCTAGGTAGATAAGCAGAAACCCTGAATCTGCACGTGTCTGCCTGAATCTAAGTTCACGATACAAACTCACGACCATACTTCTCGAATCACAGAAACCCACGTTTCCTTCTCTAAGTTATTTAAATACCACGGACCCTTTTCAATATAGACCTTTGCAACATTTTCCCCTCTTAACATGAGGTTCTTCCCACTTTTGCTCCTACAACTACAACTCGGTTTGCTGTACGCTTGCCTAGTTGCCGACCAGTCAAAGTTATTCCTCCCTCGGAGTTCTATGACCATGGCGACACCAACGCATGTCTATCCAGGCGTGAATCTCCCTTTGCGAGACATGCCTAAGAGGTCATTCAATCGTAAAGATGAGTATTTGTTCTACCCCATTGGGTTTCCTGAATACAAAAGGAGTCAATCTCAGGTGATGCCGGTGAAAGAGGTTGCGATGATGATTCTCATGGATACCTTGACGGATAAGCCAGATTGGCATAAAAAGGTGTTTGACGAGACAATTGTTAAGAAGTGGAGAAATGAAGCGCGCCAGCAGAGTGAGGATGGATTGTATGCGAGGATCATGCAGGATAAGCTGGAGAAGGGTCCTCGTAAGCCTCGGGATAGGATCATTACTGATACGGCGTTCGACTACGTGAGTTGGCGGTGAAGCTCCTATTTCCTGCTGGTTGGTAATTAATGTTTGACAGTGCATTAAGGAGCTGCGTGGAAAGGCAAGGTACTTCGAGAAGTTTGGTCTCATCCCTACTCTTGATGGACCCGGCAACACGATCATCAAATCAGACTCGTTCATCGACGAGAGTCTTCACCGTGATCTCAACAGAGCGTGCTACACGCTTTTGAAGGATCAAGAAGGCAACGCCGATTGGCACCCGCGAAGTAACGACATGGTTCAAAACCTTATCCATCCTTCCATGCACAGTTTCGTCTACGGTATGTCCCCTCCACCAAGGACAAAGACTTGATACTAAGGATCAACAGATCGTTCACCGTTCATCCAACACGAAGTCGTCGGCGTATCGAACGCACTTGACTTCATGGGCGAAGGTAAGCCCGTGCGAGGTCAGCCCCCTGTGGTCCGACAGAATTTATTCGAGCATGTGTGGGAGCCAGAATTTGCCATTGGTTCAGGAAAGATTGGCTCAGAGTACTGGTCCAATAAATACCAGTGGTTGCCCGCCAACGTTAGATTTCGCGAAGATGGCAGCGCTGAGTTTACAAGCTACGTAAACAATCTTCACCCAACAAGATTTCCTGAAGTCTACAGGACCATCGAGAGGTTGGTTGATGGGGCGATCCCTGCTTGGGATCATTGTCTGCGAGAGGTTAGTCGTTTCAACGACGGGACCTTTGCGGGGAGGAACAAGTCACGCTTTGAACGGATCAACGAAGCATCGTAAACCTCATGTCCCTCCAGTGGAGGTGTTCTTCAGCTAATGGATTTTAGTGACGAAAATGGCGACTTATGGACGCCAGAGTTCAATGTGAAAGAATTCTTTCATAAAGACGTCGAGCTCACGCATCAAGAACTTCGTGACAAGGAAGAAGAGTGTTACCATGAATCAGAGGACCCAGTCGAATTCGACGAAGATGAGGATCAGCGCAGAATGAACGAGGGCCTCCCTCCTCTTACACCCAATGTCGATGATGAGACCATGGCAGAAGTTAAATGGCTCAAGTACCGCGACACCATCCTTCCCGACCCAAAACCCTTTGAAGAAGTTGACTACGCGCCAAAGCAGAGCTTACGAGAAAAGTTCAAGAAAGATGGTTTGCAAATCATTGTCAAGATGGCGAGTATTGAACTCACGCCTGAGAAGCCAGAGTTCCCCGCTGGAAGTTGGCATGTAAGTCAACCCTAGCGCTACCAATATAAGGATTAGCATACTGACATTTGTTTTTTAGCTCGAAGGTCAGATGAATGAGAAGATTGCCGCCACTGCGCTGTACTACTTTGACAGTGAAAACGTGGTGCCAAGCCGTTTATCGTTCCGCATGCAGACGAGCTCACATCTGAATGATGAGATCAAGGCTGGCCAGGATCGCTACAACTACCTTGAAAGGGTGTTTGGGACATGTCTTGGAATGCAAGGCGGATTAGCGAGATCTTGTGTTCAGAGCTACGGTGACGTTGACACGCCAGAGGGTCGACTCCTCGCTTTCCCTAACGTCTTGTAAGTCCTCTCCCCTAAGCATCCACAGCTTTACTAACATTCGTCAAGTCAACACCGCGTGTCTTCTTTCAAGCTCCAAGATCCGACAAAGCCGGGACACCGACGCTTCATGGCTCTTTGGCTGGTTGATCCGCACCGCCGAATCCTTTCGACGGCGAATGTGCCGCCTCAACAAAAGGATTGGTGGACTGGAAGCGGCGAAGTGCCTAGTGGCCTTATGGATATTGAGGAAGCGCGGGCGCATCGGCTTAAGTTGATGGGTGAGCGGACTGCGGAGAAGGTGAGGGCTCACTGGGATTCCATTGACTATAACTTCTGTGAGCATTGATTGGATCTTGGCGTCAGCGTGAGATGAGTTAAAGGTGAAGAAAGGCAGATGATGCGCTCATAGGACCATTCACAGACGGATCCTAGGTCTCATAGAGGCAGCCCACTATTGAAAGTATCACAAAAACTATGCCAAGTACACATGTCATACAACCAAGCCTCAATACGAATCTACATAGCCCAGCTAGGACATTACCGAAGTTCTCTCCTCTCTCCTCTCTCGTCACATCTAGACATATGCAGCGCTCTATATGACATGTGCAAATCACAACGCCCAAAATATTATATCATCTATAAATGAATACGAGATGGCATTAATCTCGAGATTGTCTCTCCACCCAACCATATCGTGATTTATGTCCAAGACAGAATCCTCTCATGATCGACGGCTCACTTGTCTCAGATACTGACCTCTGAGTGGTCACGGAGAAAAAATAAGAAAGTGATCGACATCCGTAGGACAGGGCCAAGAAGGCTCGTAAATTTTGCAAGTGCTGACATGTGCATCACACGACATGGGGGCCGAGACGGGACTTGGGGTATTTGAGGCGCGATGCTATTATTAGAGGGTTGACGTATGTCAACAAGAGAATCAACAAAGGTATAAAAATATCGTCTTAGAACCTCAAGCTTGGTGATTTTGATGTCAGTGTATTCACATCTCAACAAAACATAGAGCATCAGGAGCAACATCGTCATCATTATCATGCATTTCACAACCCTCCTCACCAGCGCAATAGCGCTCGCCCCAACAGCAGCATCCCAACCAACAGCGCGTCAAGCCCCTACCGCCAACGCAGTCATCATGATCGTCAACTCGGCGGACCACAGCCGTCAACCCGTCAGAATTCCCCTCGCGCAACTCACCACTCTCAACTACCAAGTCACCGAGCTGCGTCTCGAGAGTCTCAACGTCAACATCCCCGATATTGAATCACCTGAACTCAGCGATGTTGTTTGTCAGCGGTATAAAGATAAATATGGCGTTCAGCTGGGAAGCACTGAGTTTAGTCACGAGAAGCCAGCGCTAATCAGTACCAACCCTGTGGAGTTTGGTTGGGTTCTGTGCTACCATAAGGATAGGGCTTGAATGCGGTAGACGGAGACCGGGGGTATATGGGGGTATGAGATGGGAGATGGCTTGGGGAAATTGAATACAGTTGCATAGTTATTAATCGCGAGATTATTCACCGTCATTCTTGTTCCTGGCGTGTTTGCAAATGCTAACATTATTAATGCTCGTAGGGTTTAGCAGCTCGGTTGAACTTTGGCCGTCGTAGCCAATCACCACGTAGAACGCTGGGGGATTTCAAATCATCTAACGCTGAGTCTCGAATCCAATTGGTGGGCTCGTAGGGTCACCTCTCGTAAGAAAGATGACGTTGGGGTCTTGAAGTAATTCTCCGATTTCTTCCCCAAAAATTGCTTTCAATGGCCCTGATTATCAAGCATTCCTAGCCGTATCATACTTTGAATTATGAGGTGATTTGCTCTAGAATTAGTGATCTGATCACCGCGGGCTCCACGGCGTGCAGTTTCAAGTGCCGTGGACAAGCATTCCCAGCCATATTTCACGTTGTATTTTAAGGGTTCACTCCAAAATTGCCGAGGGCTCCATGGAGTTCGTATGGGCCTTTGAGTTTCTAAGCGTCTCAACTATTGCTCCGAATGCTACTTTGCACCATCTTCGCTTGATAATCTAGAGCACGATGAAGCATCATTGCCTGCCATTAAAAATGTATTTAAAGACAATGTGCCTCTCAAGTTCAGAGTCTATCATCACAATACAATCACAAATCATTTCGCATCACTTTCGACCAAGTATCTATCAAGCGATAATACTCTTCATCTCAATTAATGCCCATCATGTCAACCGAATCAAAACTCTGGCAGCCCCTCAAACTGGGAAACGCCACTCTCTCCCATCGCATCGCCCTCGCTCCTCTAACACGCTTCCGCAACGACGATGACCATCTCCCCCTCGACCTCATGATAAAATACTACGCCGACCGCGCTTCAACCCCCGGAACTCTCGTCATCAGTGAAGCAACCGGCATTTCCAAAACAGGCGAAGCAGCCCCCAACCTACCAGGCATCACCTCCCCAGAGCAAATCGAGGGCTGGAGAAAGATCTACGACGCTGTCCATGCTAAGGGGAGTTACATGTTTCAACAGATTTGGGACCTTGGAAGGGCGGGCGATCCGGATTATTTGAAGAAGAGGGGGTATAAGTACTCATCGAGTAGCGCAGTTCAGATGGAGGGTAAGAATGCGAAGCCTGAGGCGTTGACGGAGGAGGAGATCTGGGAAAAGATTGGGGAGTTCAGACAGGCTGCGAGGAATGTTGTCGATGCTGGTGGTGATGGTGTTGAGATCCACGGTGCTCATGGGTAAGAAGTGACATTCTTGCTGGACGACAGTTGCTAATGAAGTCTATCGCAGATATCTTATCGACCAGTTCATCAGCGAAAACATCAACAACAGAACCGACAAGTGGGGAGGCTCCGTCGAGAACCGCGCCCGCTTCCTCCTCGAAGTCATCAAAGCCACCGTGGAAGAAATCGGCGCTGAGCGAACCGCCCTCCGTCTAAGTCCCTTTGCAACATTCCAAGCCGCATTTACCGCCAATACCTGGGAGCAATATGGCTACATCTTCAATGAGCTCAAGAAAGCAAGCTACAAGCTCGCTTATGTCTCGCTCGTCGAACCGCGAGGTAACCCAGCTTACCTCGATGCTGCACCCAAAGATCTTGGCTCAGACAAGGTTAATCCCTTTGGAGACAAGAAGCAGAGTCTCGAGTACTTTCTTGAGATGTGGGATAACCAGTCCCCTGTTATTGTTGGAGGTGGATATATCCCCGAGAACGTTTACGATGCTGTTGATGGGAGCTACAAAAAGTGGGATGTTATCGTGGCTTTTGGGCGATGGTTTATCTCGAACCCTGACTTGGTCTTCCGGCTCAAGTATGGTGTTGCTCTAACGCCTTATCAAAGGGATACCTTCTATGCTCCCAAGACTGATAAGGGATACAATGACTATACTTTCAGTCAGAGATATCTGGAGGCTACGAAGGCGCAGACGAAGTACCAGGAATTGGCGGCAATAGAGCAAGCGGTTGAAGCATGATCATAGAATTATAGAAGCTTGAACTGGGCACTTAAGACTTTGTGGATCTCCGACTATCCATTTTCTTCATAGCCGTGAACTATGCTGCAGAATACCCTCTAATCACCGACGCTGATTACTTATTCAGTCTCGGCGCTCTCTCGGGATCTCTCCACCATAGACAAGCCTCCGTTCGAATACTATCCTTCTCAACCTTGGTATCCCCCGGCTGAACAACGATCTGCTTCGGCGATCTCTCTCGTCCATTGTAATTAGGCCACTTTGGACTTCCAGGATATCGATGCTTGTTGGGATCGCCCGTAGCAACGAAACTAGCCAAGTACCCGTGGTAGATGTGGCTGATCTCGGGGTACTGAGTAGTAGGCTCATCCCACGTGAATGCCGTGTCAGCGGTGTGAGGAATACCCTGCCACGCAGGGAAGCTGTTGTTGGTGTTGAAGCGGACTTTCCATGTCGGGACTCCGGCGGTGGAGGCGCGGTATGCAGTTTCTTGGCCGGGGCAGATGTAGGCGTAGTCGCTCCAGGCGGCGGAGATGCGGTTGTATTGAGTGCTGTTGGGGGAGTTTGCGAATGGTGAGTCTTTGTACTTTGCGGGATCGAGGTATAGAGCAGATAGCTGCTTCAGGTCTTTGTTGGTCAAAGCTGGTGAGATGTTGTGGAGATAATCGAGGAACTCCTTGTTGGTCTCCAGGTCACCAGGAGTGTAAAACTTGGCTTCGTCGGTGACAGTAGAAGTGATGGTCGGGACGTGGAAAAATGTTCCGTCGTAACCAGATCGAGAGCCAGGTTTCTGAAAGAGAGGTCCACCATGCACGGGTTGGAATGGCCACGTCAGTTGAGGATCGTAGTCATGGTACAACTTGGTACTGATGTTTCTGATAGCGTTGACATCTGCTCCCTTCAGGCACTTGAGCGTTGCCTTATTTCCCTTCTTCTTGTCACATCCAAGGTACGTAATGTACTCGTCATACTGTCGCTTATACAAAGGATAAGTATCATTCGGAAAAGCCCGTGAAGTGACCGAACCAGACTGATGAATCGCCCGAGCAAACAACTGCTTATTATCCTTTCCGTAGTTGTGAAAGTAATGAATGCCCACTGAATGGCCACCAGCAGAGCGACCACCAATAGTGACAGCATCCTTATCACCGCCAAAGGCACCAATATGCTTCTGCACAAACTCCAAGAAGAATCGCTGGTCTCGAATACCTAGGTTCGACAGACCTTCATCTTGGAAGAGCTTGGATGGCAGAAACCCGAGAGAGTTGACGCGGTAGTGGAAGTTGACTACCACGATGGGAACCTTGGACGAGGCAGCGAATGCAGCGGCGTCGAAACTAGCCCAGCTGCCAGCGTAAAAAGCACCGCCATGGATCCACACAAGAACAGGAAGTTTCTTGCTCAAAGGTACGCCCTTGGGTCGAAACACGTTGAAGTTGAGGCACGCCTCGCTCTGTGAGTCGAGAGGTACTCTGGATGATACTTCTTGGACACAAGCTTTGCCAAAGCTGTCCGCTTTCTTCACGCCCTTGAACTTCTCAGGCCAAGAAACAGGGTGAAAGCGATGCTCGCCGGTTGGTTGAGTGGCGTAGTCGATACCCAGCCAAGCATCAATAGGCGCAGGGAGCTTCTGCTTGGTGAAAGTACTGTTGACAGTGGTGCCGGAGAAACTACCGTAGCCATCAAGCTTAACGGCGTTGTAATGTCCTCCAGTGGCTTGCGCAACAGGCGACAACGCCAGAAGCGTTCCGAGATTTGACAGGACCTTCATGGTGATGCAGGTGTGAGAGAACGAAGGGAAAAGAAAAAGGGAGGCATGTCAAATTTATATATCGCGCTATCAATGCCGTTTAAGCTTAAATCCCCCGCATATCAGTCGACATCGCCCCCGAAATCGTGCAAGAGCCGACAGGGTCGGATACGAACGCATTACTAGTGGAGTATGGCATCACCATCCTCGGTTTTCCGGGTTTAGAAATAGGCCCGACATTATGTGCCAAGTTATTGGCTTGCGAGCGATGATCAATTTAACAGAATGTGAAGTCTAATGTTGGGGGAAAACAAAACTTTGGGACTTCGATCCTAAATGACAAAGAGACTTTGGGACTTTAGCATAAGTTTAGCATGCCTTTGCTCATTTTAGATGCCTCTACTAACTTTAGGATACCGTTACTGAGTTTAGGATATCTTTGCTAAGTTTATTTCGACATTTTGTTTCAATGTCTGATGTATCCTTGTTCCTGAGGGAGATATGCAGTATCGCCAAGGGTTGGTGATATAAAAAAAAAGGAGGAATGTGATTCGCTAGTTTAATCGATGAAATACAAGGGGGGTCTGGTGGATACCGGGACCGGCAACCTCGTACTCTTTCTCAATCTGCTCTCGGGACTCTGGATCGATCACTAGAGTGGATAACTCCAAAAGCCAAATCGCGTGGCCGTGAGATATAATATCCCCCCTTTCAAGCTGTTTACTCTTCTCTGACCACATGTAAGGATGGCCATGCTTCCTTGCAACCTCTTCCCAGGCCTGCACGGTGTAGCAATCGAACTCCAAGTCCTCGGTGCTGCACCAAGCAATTGTGGCAACTGTTTTTGTTCTGCGGTAGGTAAACGAACTGGCATGATGCTTCCTGCTCGCACTCCACAGCACCATGATTTCGAGGCTCGGCATACGCAACGCGACCTGTGCGGCGTTTTGGAGCAAGACCGAGACCGCTTGTGGTTTAAAGTGGCGGTTGAAGTGCCTGGTTGTAAGGACAATCGTTTGGAGATTTTTCCACGTCCAACTTGATTGACAATGTGAGAAGAAGGTTTCAGCCTCGACCATGAAGGAAATCGACAAATGCTGGAGGTTAAGGCTCCTCGCGGCGAACTGTTTACTGTTTTCGTCTACCCAACGCTGTTGCTGGACATAAACGCACCTGGGGCCATGAAATAGCGGAGCGAGTAGCAAGTGTTCTTTGCAGAAATCTTCAAATACCGTCAATGTTCGCAGCGTGGTTGGGTGTATATTCGCGATCAGGTCATCTGTAGTGCCCTTCAGTATAAAAGACTGGTCCGAGCATTCGGGAGGTACCCACATTCTTGGCGGCTGTTGGAGTTCTGGAACGTGATGAACTTGCGCGTCGCTGTACACCCACGTCTCTAGTTGAAGATGCACAAGTCTAGGACAAGCGTTGACCAATCTCGCAATGTCTGAAGGTTGGAACCGATTTCGATAGTAACGGCGAATTACGAACTTCGTGACTGCATCGGCCAGGGGCAGTTTCATGTCGTTGTTAAGACGTATCGGCCGAAAGCAGGTCGCTATTGCCCTCACAACAGAAGCCAATGCAACCGTTCGCCAGTCGTGGCCTGGATCAATGGTGAGTACCGGTATCCTTTGCGATTCTCCAGGACAGCCGATAAACCAATTTTTGAGCCAATGAGCCTGTTCTCGGACGCTGTAAGCATTGAACTCTAACGTCAAACCTCTCTCGGTACAGTCACAAGAGCTCAGGGTGCTGAAGAGTTGGTAGAGGTGATATTCTGGTAGTCTCATGAGTTGGGCTACTGCGCCGTTGATCGTCGGCATTTGGTGAGTGATCGTCGGCATTTGGCGAGTGTTTGCAGCGAAGCATTCATGGCATACGGGGCCCCGGAGTTCTCATGTTGAACCAAAGACGCTGTATTGCAGCGCGTGGCTGTGCACTCAATTGCGCCAAACTCGCGAGACCATGCTGGCAGACCGTGAGGTTGTGGAAGGTTCTCTCTTCCATGAATGTCCGCCATTCTCGGCATACGGAAGCATAGACATGTCTGCGGCGATAATGATGGGATAGAAAGTCTAGAATGTAGTGCTGAATTTCTCGGGGCAGACGGTTCCATCTCGTCGTTGTTCCGACTGGGGCAGTGCTTTGGGTGGCTTGTGGTGGTGCTAATTGGACTGAAGGCTGAATAAGATGAATGCAATGTGAGTGCGACATGATGAATTGAAGAGATGCCGGATAGACGATGTCTGAACTAAAGCTTTTGGTGAATTGATGTGATGTTCTGGGTAAAATTCGAGCTGCTGAGGTGGGGAGGAAAGAGAGCTCACGACCTTCCTTGACCCTAAATGACAAAAAGGCTTAGGTAACTTGCCATAAGCCTAGGGTACATTTTGCTGAGTTTGTTTTGGCATCCGATACCAAAGTCTGTTGTCTTCCTGCTTCCCGAGGAGGGACTCAGCACAGGATGCTTCTTACCTGCAAAGCTGTTTGACTGACGACTGACCTTATAAAAGAAGGTGAGAACGCTTCAGGAAGAGCGGCTCCACATACGGAAAGCCGAGCAAGAATTGAATCCTTGGCGATGCAGCCAGGACTTGGAAAGAAATCAGGCAGGAGTTCCCAATCTGAGATGTCTTCATATGATCAAACGTCACCAGATGTTGAGCGCCCATAAGTCCGGTCAGATGAAAGGCTCCAGGTTCGTTGATGCATGGCGCCTTGGTGGACATGATAATATTTAAACAAAACGTGTTGCCATTTCCACAAGTTTCTTTAGTTTAGCACCTTTCCGCCAGTCTACAGGCCTACCCACTCCAAAGACTTATCCCATAATCTGGCCGCTTTCTCAGTATCACACGCATGCTCCCCATGTCCTCTTGCATACAACGGAGATGAAGGATCCCATTTCCCAACGATTTGACAGTCCTCAAGATACTTCCCGCCTTGTCCTTCCAAAGCCTGAGCGACAGCTGCCCAGACACTTGTAGCAGCACCTTGGTCCGGGAGCTTCCAAATGGTCTTGAGATATGGATCCACTGCAAGCCCGCTCTTTTGTTCCTCAGATAAATGCCTTCCCAGATCTGTGAGGACGCCGCCTGGCTGAACACTCCACGCATGGATACCCTCACTGGCGTACCTCCGCTCGATCTCATTCGCTGTCCAGAGGTTGGCAGTCTTGCTTTGAGAGTAGGCTTTGTTGGGATCGTAGCAGCCTTCCATGTTGACGTTGTCAAAGTCAATCTCGCCGAAACGATGGGCAAGCGAGCTCAGCATAACGACTCGCGATGCATGATCAGATGTCGCACCTTTTGCCAGAGCAGGTTTGAGTAGTTGGAACAAGAGGAAGTGGGCAAGATGGTTTGTTCCGAATTGCGTTTCGAAGCCCTCTTTCGTGCGCCCTTCTGGTGTACACATGACCCCAGCGTTGCAGATAAGGATATTCAGTTTCAGACTCTCGGATAAGAACTTGGCGGCGCACGAGCGAACACTCTCCAGCGATTCCAGGTCAAGTTCGAGAAGATGGACACGCTCACCCTGCGCGAGGTCGCCTAGGGCTGACTTTGCCTTTTCGAGGTCTCGAGCCGTTAGATATAGAGTTGCGCCAGTGAGATGCAGCGCTTTTGCCGTCTCAACGCCGATACCCGCAGAACATCCGGTTATAAAGACGACCAGGTCGCTCAATTTCCCTTCCAGTCCTTCATCCTTGATGATCTGGACAGCTGTTGGTCGTGAGTCTCCTGGTCCATTGGGAGACTCATGAATGGTGACGTAGCGATCGGCCATGGCGTTGATATAAGAGGGTAACGAGAAGTAGAGAGACTCGACTACAAGCAAGGCAACTTGGATAAAGAAGAAAAAGATAAATTTGGTTTTTGGGGAGGCGATGAAGCTGGTATTTACACCGATATTCTCTCGACATGCCGCGTTTCACGATGCAACATGTCCGAGCTGAAACGCCTATGATTCACCACTAGGCCAAGCGGGAAACGGCCACCAATTAATCCGCTAGCTTTGACGCCATCAGAGAGAAATGATAGGCCAGTGGCTTCGGCAGTGGAACAATTCGCTAGACTTCTGATACTCAAAGCCACCATTGCTTTGCTCGCTCGGCATCAGCAGCCGAGTAGGCTCAAACTATATACAGAACAGAAGAACTGAGCTTTCTCCCAATGGCTTATCCACTTATTTTGTATACCTAGCGCAAGGGCTCAAACTCTTGGCCTTGCCAGCATCCTTGGGAATGACGCCCGCAGCGACAGCAGCTTGATAACACCATCGCCAATCCTTCTTCCCGAGCTCTCCGTCACACTTCCAGGACCAAAAGAACCAGCCATCGCCTTTCTCAAAAGACTCAGCTTGCGCAGCCCAGTAAGCTTTGTACCATGTTTCCTGGCCCTGGATCTTGAACTCATCGGTGTTCTTCAATGTTGAGTTAACTGACAGGGACCATTCGCCGACAAAGACGTGCCGGCCCATGTTGTCTTGGCAGGCAGTTTCGATATATGCCTTCTTATTGCCAGTGATTCTGTTGTCGAAGGATAGATAGCGGTGGGCATCGAAGAAGATGAGGTCGTCGTCTGGGAGATATAGTCTGGGGTCGCCTGCGCCCCAGCTTTTGCCCTGCGATGAAGTCAGCGCGAGATTTGAAACTGAATACATGTAACTTACCATGTATTGAATGTGTAAGCGATCAGCTTTGGGAACCTTCAGGTAGCCCTCCATAGCCTGGATGCGCTTGTATGCACCAGGGTAGTAGTTCTTAATCATGTCATCTGCCTCAGCCTTCCACTTTCCAGCGCGTACAGGCTCATTCAGAACCTCAAGCATACCGACGGTAGTGTAATTCCCATTAGTATGGATGCGCTTGGTCATCCACTCGAGGAACTTGAACGCTCGCTCATAGTTTTCGGCAGTATAAAATCCAGGGTTGGGGATGGACTGCAACCTGGTTAATTTAGATTTGGGGAGATGAAACAATTGCTTACATGGCCGGTGAACTGCTCATTCGGTGAGCTGATACCAGGTGCAGAATGAAGTCCGATAACTGCATAAATTCCATGCTTCTTACACCACCCAACAATACGATCAAGATGCCAAATACCGCCCCGGGGCCAGTATTCGCCTTTCTGGATGATGTCCTCGTACATCCAGTATCCGACGGGAATACGAACGGCATTAAGACCAATACTTGCGATCTGCTTTATGTCATCTTCCGTGATCCAAGTCTCCCAATGCTTCTTGAATGCAGCGTTGGCTTTTTCTTGGCCGATGCCCTTGACGCAGGCCCATTCGTCGTTGTAGGCACTGCAGCCCATGTTCTTCCATGATTCTTCAGCCATCCATCGTTCGATGATGAATTGTGAACCGAGGTTGACGCCCCGGATTTTGTCATCGTTTGGGAGCCATCGTTCAATGATTTTCTCACCGTTGGCCTTTGCAATAGCTACATGAAGTGAATATGTGCACCCTGATGATGACGTTGATTTACTAACCTCTAGACTGTGGAGTCCATGCTTCAGCTCCGGCGAGAAAGAATGGCAATACTGATTTCAGATGCATGTTTGAGACAGGTATTTCTGTTCAAATGGAGTGAACGTCTATTTGACTGCACTTGTAGAGCCGAAAGAAGAGACATAATACCGTTTAATGTCTTGGATATATATGTCTTCAATCAAGGTTAGCAAGGATTATACTCCATTCACATACCTGCGCACATGGCCTGATAACAACGGAATACATCCGCCCGATCTCTCCATCCAGCACCGATCCATCCTGCAGATTTCCGCGATGGAGAACAATCCTGAACATGATTTGCCGGTCCGACTGATGGACCGTTTCGTTTTGGCATATGAAACGGTCGATCATCAACCTTGATTTTTCACAAATGGGACTTTCGTCATTCCACATTCCTCTCGCTTGAGAATACTGCTGGTTGGCTCATGCCAGGATTGCAAAATGCAAGCAGATGAAGGACTGCGGCTGAAGGTTGGGGTTTCAGACGAACTCCACTAACAACCCTGTTCATCTAATGAGAGCATGCCTCACGGATCGCATATCTATTTACTTGAGATGAACCCTTAACGCATAACCCTTCATTTTGAGGCGATATATCGGATGAGTCGGATTCAAAGTTTAAATAACCGTGGTCACTGATTTATTGAGAGCGGTTTCAGTGCTCAATACGGCTTGTCCTGGTTCTTTTGTTGTTTCGTGGGGTCGGTGGACCAGCATGTTGGCAAAATGCGACGCTGCAAGTTGACCTGTCAATGGCCCATAGAATAAAAAGTTCAAGTCAACACGCGAGGTATTTTTGACGTATGATAGAGTGATAGTGTCTGCAACAGGAGAGTCCGCCTTTGCATCGGCGATGCCTGTGCATCTCGGTCTATCTCGCAGTGTGCTGCACGGAACTACTATCAGATCACCGTGAATAATGCCGGGAATTAGACCACGGTCGCCGAAAGAAGCAGGTCTAAAAGATGATGAGCCACGTGGGGGATACAGCAGTTATCGGATGGCAGCTCATGATGAACAGGTGAGGCGGCATCCAGAGCGGATGGAAAAGAATGTATTATTTGCAGTTGAGGTATGTGGCTGACAGCTTATATCGCCACAGAGAAGGGTAGAATGCCAGTGACTCGCTCGTACGGATAGTAGCCGTAGGGGCTGCCACCCAATTGACTGTCCAAATGACGGTCCAAAAGGCCTCCATGACAAAGACTGACATATAGAGCATTCACTTATGGCAAACGGTAAGTGTCTTTCTGTATGTCGACTGGATTTACTGGTCTATTTCTTCGATACTCAATAAATCTCAAAATAT